CGGGTAAGGGAAGGGCTGCCCCCTGTTCTGGCTAAACCCACCCCTTCACTAGAGCTTATTTTCGGGGGAGAGTTTATAATTTTGCCCACCGCGAAAATCTGGCATGGCCTTAGTTTCAGGACATGTCATATTTTCGGGGAAACACGGTATATTTCAATCACATTAAACATTTGCTTATCTGAACTTGCATATTTTTTATCTTCGTTAGAATAGAATAAGCTGGAAGGGACTTTGGAGGTCTTCTACTCCAGCCCTCGCCTCAAGCAGGAGAACCTATACCAATTTAGATAAGTGACTGCTAGACTCTTCTTAAAAACTTCTAGAGAAGCACCCACAATTTCTGAAGGCAAGCTTTTCCACTGAAAAGAACGTTTCTCCTTAATTCCAGGTTGATTCTCCTTTATTAGTTTCCAACCATTTAACAACTTTATAATTTTTATTGATAAGAAATTATTATCTTCAATTAAAATAATGCCCCGTTTCCCTGATTCATATTCAGATACTTCTTTCTTCAGTTTCCAAACGGAATCAAGAAACTGCTTTATTCTATGACTTGATACTTCTGGTATTAACAGAAACACACTGCCACATTGGTTCTTATGCCTACATGGATCTAACTTTAAAATAAACCAGCATAAGGACAATTTTTTTTTTAAAATTCCCCAATATAGACATTACAAATATTTGATGTTCACTTCAATGATCACTCTAAATCCCTGTTTTAACTATAACTTGTTAAATAAGCCACAAGCAAATCGTAATACAACTTAGGGCAATATGTAAAATGGGCAAATGTTAGCTTCTACCAGAATCTGCCGAACCCATTGAAGCAGTAGACCAGCTTTTCTTAGCCTTGTGCCCTCCAAAGATGCTGAACTTCAGCTGGCATGGCACTGGCATAGCACTGAAACTGACACATGGAACTATAAATATAAACATACCAGTAACTGGGGGTCCCGATTTTCATCCATAGGACTAAGTCCAGTTATTATTTCAAGTAATACCTGGAAATAGGTAAAAATTAATAAATGAAATAGATGTCACAGGTTTTCATCAAATATCGCTGTACAACAATCAATGAAAAAAAGTTACTATTTTATTTCACTGAGAGACACTCAATTACCTTAGCAATAAAGTGAGTGAACTTTGATACAATTCCATAAAGACTTAGTTTAGACCTACTGATCAAAAGTGTATATATGAATCAGTGGTGGGTTCCAGATCCCGTTGCAACCAGTATGGTGGAACGGGGCCCAGCGTCCCCCACATGCACCCGCACAGGCGTCCTTACCTCCCCAACACCTCTGCAATGTGCGGAAATGCCAGAGAGATCAAATATAGGTAAGGAGCTCGGATGAGCGGGTGGGCTTTCCGGAGCACCGTACCGGAACAGTTCCGGTGCTCCCGGCAGACACCGGTGCACCCGTATCAGGTTGTACCACCTGCAACCCACCACTGATATGAATATATGAACACACTGTATTTTCAAAATTTGTATGGCTATCAATAGACCCAGGATTACATCAGAAACTTTTTCAAATTCTACATTTCATAGAGGGGAATTTGAAGCCTTTTCATAATAAACCAAAATTTAAATAAGTAAATATCTGATACCTGCCTGAAAAAGAAATATTACCTGACTACTGTATTCCCTCTGACCACTGGAGTCAGCCTCTTAGGAAAAACTCTGGCTTGTGATAAAATAATGGGCAATTCCCACTAAATCCCATTCATGACATTCTTAGTCATGAAGAAAAATGAAATCTGTCTTCAAAAGCAGGGCAATTCAGGAACAATTCAGACACTGGTATTACAGGAAACCTGGAGTTAAATTTAGTTGTGCATTGGACCATCCCAAAGTTGGAAAACAAGGTGCAGTTTATAAGCTAACAATAATTTTTCATTAGGCAAGATGGTTTAAGAAATAGAAAGGGAAAGGAAAGGAAAACAACCTCCATTTACTGACTTATTTTAAAAAATAGCAACTTACCACGCCAAAACTGAAGACATCCGATTTAGGAGTTATCTCCCCTCTTAATGCCTCTGGAGCCATATAGGCTGCTGTCCCAACTATTCTATCTGTTAGAATAGTGTGTGTAAATCTTACCGATGCTCTTGCAAGCCCAAAGTCAGAAAGTTTTGGTACAAATGTTTCTGTTAGTAAGATATTTGCACTGGGGAAAAAATAGTAAGCTAAAAATTATTTTTTGTCCTCTCCCTGAAAGAGAGCCAATATATCAAACAGAAACAACAGCTGATTGAATCTAAATGATGGCGAACCTTTCTGGAATTCATTTCACAAAGAACTCAAAGGAAAGGGCTAGATCTCATAGCCTTTTTATCCTATTGCCACCCTCTAGAATACTTTTCACAGAAATTAATTTTACGGGTTCTACCTTTTAACATCTCGATGGATGTGGTTATTTTCATGCAAGAAGGTGATTCCATTTGATGTCCCAAACGCAATGTTGCATCTTGTGTCCCATGGTATTGGTGGAGAGTTGTCCTTTATAAACAGGGAGAGTAGAAAAATTTCAGTACTTTACTGGGATCAATTATTTTATTCAATAAAATTAAACTAACAAAAGAAGAAAAACAAAGTTGAGAGCATTCCATTCCCAAGAACAAGCAGCACTGACCAAGTAAAGCTACAATAATGTCTGATATTTTTTTTCAAGATAAGCTGCTACTTATAAATTTGGATTTTATTTTTTCATGTGAGTGATTCCATGAATTGAAAGGCCATATTTGGCAATTTGGAAAAGAAGTATATTTCTATCTCATATTTATGTATTATATAAATTATATAATTTAATATATATAATAAATAATATAATTATATATTAGAAACGACAATATTTGGAGACTAGTCACTAGTCAAAGAAAACTGGTCATATTGTAATAAACTTTTTGACTAAATTCACCATGGATTATGAACCATTTTTTCCCAACAGATACTATACTTTAAGCTAAGGACATTTTGCTCCTGTTCAAGCATAACAATCTCTAATTAATTTTAAAAATAGTGAAACATCTGATATACTCCTCCTAGCTGTACTAAATGAAGAGTAATAGTTTAACATTATGTCTGCAAAGGCTACAGATTTTTCTTAAACTGATTCATAAAACATTTATTAGGAATTCAAACAGGAATTACTGTTATGTAGAGAAATGTTATAATATTAAACCTGTTTTCCTCCAAAATAATGAATCGAGAATAGCTGACAATGCACGAGAAAAGCAATCTTAATAAGGAGAAATATGATTTCTGGTTTTCATTGTTAAGTTTTAAAAAATTAAATATTTAAAAAGCATGATCCTGCATGAATGTTAAGTTTCATACCTTTAGATCTGAATACTAAAGAAATGACTTACCAGGCAAGCTAATCTATCAAGCAAGGAGCCGTTGGGCATATAATCATATACTAAGCAAGGCTGATTAAAATCATTTGAGAAACCAAGCAATTCTACTAAGTTCTCATGTTGGCACCTGTAGACAAAAGTAGATAGTTTTAGATTGTTGGGGCTTTTCTGTTTTTCAATATGTACCATTCTGAAAAACATAAAAGGATTTAAGCTACTGTATTTTTCGGAGTATAAGATGCACCTTTTTCCCCCCAGAAAAGAGGGTGAAAAACTGGATGAGTCTTATATACTGAATACAGCATTTTTGGCCTCCTGAAACCCCACCCCCTTTGCAAAAATGGCCGTGCATAGCCTTTAGGAGGCTTCCAGAGTGCTCCTGGGGGCTGAGGAGGGCACAAATGAGCAAAAAACAGACCGGTGTTTTGCTCATTTTTGCCCCCTTCCCCAGCCGCCAGGAGCACTCTATAAGCCTCCTAAAGGCTATGCATGCCCTTTCTTTGACAAAAAATGGGCCCATGTTCGTAAATTTTTGGGAGGTATGCAGAGTGCAAAAACTTTTTTTTTTTGGCCTCTTCAAAATCTTGGTGCGTTTTATACTCCGAAAAATATGGTACTTCTAGCTTTGACTATAAATTGACTATGCAGGATAGAAACTGATTCAATGTCTTCAGTGATTGATCTCATATTTTTTACACAAAATATTCTGTGTTAATTTCTATGGATAGACCTGAAAATATTGCTTTCCAAAAATCTGATAGTCAATGTTTTGATTATTGAACACCAAATTACACATAATACTTAAGTTTTCAACTCTGCCAATACCTATCAATGTTAGTTGATCAGATTTGTAGGGGAGAAATAAAAGCTGAATAATCTTGTTTCTACTTTGGGGCTCCCAATTTTGAGAGCAAATTAAATCTTGCATGACAGTTGTAAAGATATGAATGCTACCTGTCCATCTGGCCTGAGTTAGGGCAATAACTGATCTAACTAGATACAAACTAATATGGTTTTTTTAAAAAAAACAACCCTACAAATTGGAATCTCAACATTATTTGTATATACAAAATAAAAAAAACAAATGTTTATTTTAACAAATGAATAACCTAAAAATGCCACAAAACTACAAAGGTTTAAAAAGAGTAAATTTCATTGTAATTAGTGTAAACTACTTTTTATTTCATATATTCAGAATAGAGTATAAAACATAAACTCCCTAAACAATAAAAAATTGTACGTAAAATTAATTGGGAAATATGTTTTTGCAAATGAACAGTTCAGATCATCAAAATAGATGACTTCCAGAGGTCATGAGCACAAATATCTAATATTTCTACATATTTTCTACTAAGAGTTCAACTTTAGCACTAAGACCAAATTTTAAATACCTAGCAATTTATTGCATATATTGCAATAATATTTTAACAACACTTACTTTCCCATAATCTTTATTTCCTGCTCAAATTGCTTTTTTAGGTCTTCAATACTTATATCTGCCAACTGCAATAAAATAAAAATGTATATGTGGTTGATAGAAAATATATATACTTATTTTTGCAAAGCCCTATTATGGTTGTTCACACATGCTATGCCTTGATTTCATTACCTAAGAGAAAGTAAATAAACTGTAATTACCTGGGTTCATATCCTATATTGGCCAGAAACATGGCCTATTATCTATGATATCTCATTTAAAGAGGAAATCAAAGGGAACCGCTCTAGCTAATGATGGACTTCTAAAAATGCTTTATGATTCAGCATGTTATTTGAGTTCTGTTAATTGTGGCTGATTTAAATATCCATTGATATATTTCAATATAGTGTGAACAAAACAAATCAATTATGCTCTCAGAATCAGTAATTACCTGAATTTCTACTAATGTTTGTAGAACAGTACATTGAAGAACTTTGTCATAAATAATGTTTTCTACACAGGATTAAAATATGTTAGTAACTCAAAAATTTCTGAAGCATAATTGTTGTGTCTCAGCAGCAGTCTTCTGTGAGTCTTTTCGGGATGCATGATTAACTATGCAGCTGGGGCTCGTTAGGGGCATCTTCTGGGGATAAAAGGACGGATGGTGGCAGGCCCTGGTTGCAGGAGTCAACGTTCCTTCGTTTGTTCAACATTCATTGATCATCGGCCGTGGTTTATTTGAGAGCACTTGGAGAAGTGATTTGCTTTCTGTAACCCTGATTCAAGGAGGCACTTGTAAGAGTTTTTGTTTTCTATTCTGTTATCTTCTTGAAAGAGACTTTATTTCTGTTTATTTTTG